TTGTTGTAATATATACCTACTTAGGACTTACGAGTGTAACATGGAGCACCGATAAGATAGTATCCAACCGTTTATCTTGTGCAGTAACGATAAAATGGCATAATGCCATGGGCCCACACGGCCACACCACAACACTGAGTAGGTATCGAATATTTAAATTGTTATACATATAATAAGTACCTATATGTAACGTTTTTTTAGTTTTTTCATTAAACAATTATGATTTAACTTCATTAAGCGGTTATTTCATTGCTTCGCAATAATAATATAAGAAAAATCTGTTTGAACACATTGACTGGACATAATAATATTATTCAATAGTCAGTGGGTGGGACGTCATTGTATTTATTTAACCAATATTCAAAAAATTCAAAAATAAATTTAAGTTTGAAAATATGATCATAAAATTAAATATTATCAAACTGTGTTATATTATTTTTTGTAATGTTTTAAAAAAATTTTGAATGTAGTTGTTAGAATAAAAGACCTCTGGCTTTACCACGAACATCATAAATCCTATAATCACCTATACGTCACTGCATTTATTTCGTAATGACCGTGATAAATTGTACAATAACCGCAACCTGTCAGTCATAAAGTTATATAAAAATAAATAAATAAATTCGTCCTCCGAATTGCGGTGGTTATTGTTCTCTGAACTATATAGGTCAGCTTGCATATTATACGATACATAGAGTCACGTAATAAATGTAAAAATTAATATTAACAAAATTGTAATTTACAGTAAGAAACTATTTAGACGAACAATTTACCAGACGCAAAAACACATGGATGGAGTAAATAAACGAAATTATTTTTTTTTTGACCTAATGCAATTTCGCCCTCTCACAAAACCGTCCACATAATATATTATTTTAGGACGCCTTTGCGCCGCGTTTTAATACCCACGTGGCCCCGTTTTGTACGCCATCTTCGTCGCCAAAGAAATTTTATACGACTCCTTATTAATCGTATTATATTTTACTCGCGTTTTCTAGCCCTGCTATTATACAGGGTGGTTCATTTATAAACGTAAATGTCGAAATTGGTTTTAATGAACTATAATTCCAAAGTTTTATGATCAGTTTGATCTTTTATAAAATATCGTTTTTCTATATACCTTACCTAATCCAACTCTTTTAAGAAACCACTATTTTAAACAACGTGTATGTTATACTTATCGCCACAATGGATACAGCGATACTCTATTTCTTTACAATTTGAAATGAGTTCAACAAAGCTTTTTATCCACTGTCAAACACCGAGTGACATACCAAAACAAAAAGGTTTGAAGAAGGTAACTCCTTTGATTCAAAAACCACTTATGACGGAATTAGCTAAAAAAAGGTTTCCATCTGTTCTCGACAGTTACCCAGTAAGTAAAATCAAATGCGGGCATTTAGAAAAATGTCCACCCTATAAGTATACCCATAGCTGCTGCTATCGCTCCCGATAGAGTCTAATCCTGATTTAATGTATATATCAAGCACTCGCAGCCATCTCTTCGCTATAGCCATGGTATTGGTATAATTATTTCATCAGCCGTTTCGTGGTATACTGTGTATGGTATGTACATAATATCATATAAATTCAATTTTCCGTCTTAGCTCTAGATCTACTTTAAGTTTTTTATTTTTTCGTCTTCCACGAACGCGTGGCGATTTCTTTGTTCACTGTACTGTACACACAAATTCGCAAACCAACCACTTTCAATTCCATTATAAACGATAAGGCCGGTTCATCCCTTTTAAGACCCCGAACAAAAGTTATAGTGAACTCGTAGATGTATAACTTTTAATGTTTATATATAAAATATAAAACATAAATTAAATACATTCTAGTTGATATATGTATGTATATAATATAAATGATGGCGGTATTTGGTCGTCTATTTTATCTATAGTGGTTTCGACGTAAATTTTCTTTTCTTTAGTACCTATACAATTCTGGAATGTAATTTTTCAATGGGCTTATGTCAAACGTTAAAACAATATTAATTTTTTCATTCCATGTAAATAATTATAAACCTGAATCAAAACATGGACCTTTAGTTTGAGGGGTGAGAAAACTTCAAACCATATTAGGATTGGTATATGAAACTATAGAGTATGATATAAACAAAAATCAACCTATTAAATGTAATACATAATATTGAGATGGATCTTACCGCTTAATTATCGGTCGTTGGGCTCTTGGGTGGAAAGAAATTTCTGATTGGCGTATCTTACCAGTCTACATCAATAGCGGCTGATTTTGTGCATATATATGTCAGCACACCAGATTTGTTAAATCCTCTAAAATCTCCTTGATTAAAATCAAACTGATCGTTGACTCGTTTTTTTACTGTGGATCAAAAATTTTACATTTTTAACAATTTTATTTGATAGTCGGGTACGGACGTACGGTACAAGTGACCTGAAGGTATTGACACACGTGTATGCCGCTAATGGTCAAAGGGGATTCCGATCGCATGTAAATTAAATATGTCATTATTTCATGAACTGTAGCATTAGTCTATTTCTAAAGTTAAAATTAAATTAAGTTGAATATGCACAAGTAGCCCTCAAATTACATTACTACAAGGTTATTATAGGTACATAAAGTACGTATAGGCATAAATAAATAATTATAAACTTTAATAATAAACCCGGCACACTAAAGATCACAGATTTATTTTTAAAAAATACTAGATATTTTAAATTATGGTTATACTTGTAATTTACATGGATGTTAATGAAGAGAAGGAAGTGAGAGCGTAGCCCCTCAAAATTCAAACAATTTTAATCCGATCATATAAAAGCTTAGTTTTATTTTTCAAATAAATAGTAGGTTATTTGTACCTGAAAATATTTTGAAATATTGGATATTAAAACCTATGTTGACAATAATTAATATATTATCTAATATATTAGGTTTTTGAAATAATTTAAAAATGAAGTTCATTTAGGACCGATTATCCAAAATACAGGACAGAAGTGGCATTTTGGACTTTTTTTCGTGACACCAACATGTTTCATACAAATAAGGAAAGAGTGGGATCCCTGTGGCATTGCGGCACACATAAATAATATCATACATCTTATTTTAATCCTGTTGAAACATGTATAACGCATAATCTATTCTTGAAGTGACGACGTGTAAGTTTCTAAATTGTGATGTTAAAAGTTCAGGGACGAATGAACCATATTATTAGATAAATTTGAATAAATAACAATTTTTAGTAGGTACACAAATGGTATATTATTTATTAGAATGTGTAACAATAATTGGCATTTGATATTAATACATCGATATATTTAGTATGTGGGTAGGTTGGTAAGTACTCATTAGTTCTACATATAGCCTATAGGTACTGATTATATAAAATAATTTACTGTGGTGTGTCATTATGCGTACGTGTTCATAATTACACAAAACTAAAACAAGTTATAGAAAATTAAAAAATGTAGATGATAAAATACTATAGTTAATAGGTAATGTAATATTTATAAAAAAAAACTAATTGTAAGATAGTAGGCACGTGTTAGATTCTGAGCAGAGCAATGGATGCATTGATTTTACAATGATTTTATTTATTACTTATTTTTATTCTTATTTTTTTGTGTCTGTCATCACATTTTTGGGTAGAAAAAATGCTTCGGTTTTCTTTAACAGCATATTTTCTGGTAGGAAAATAAACCTAATTGGTTTTTAGTCAAGTTAATTATACCTTAGCTGTTATTTTGTTTTATCCGTTAATCTTTAACTCAACGAAGTTATAAAAATATATTGGTTAACTTTTAAATTTACTTAATTATTACTTAATTTTTATATTAATTTAATAGGTTTTTAAAGAGTTTGAAAAATTCGTTTATTTGCCCAGCGTGGTAGCGAGTTACTTATATTATATATAAGCATGACTAGAACATATAATAATATTATACACAATTCGGAGTTTTAAAACCAGTACTATTTTATAATATTAAAAGCTGAGCCGGAATAAAAATCTGTATTGCATACTATATAATATATATAATAAACTTATTATAACAGGAAGTAGGTATATAATAAGTGTATATAGGAAGTACATGTTCGATGAAGTGTTGGAAACTATAAAACACACAAAATATATAATATGCATAGGTACTAATAACTAATATTACGTAATATTTTATTAGCTGCCGTTATTGTACGCGTGTACGCAGTAAAATAAAAAAATGTTTACAACGATAATAATACATTGTAGTGATCAATAATCCAATAATCACATTCAGTCCATACAATTACCTTTTTTTTTTGTTTTTTTCCTTGTTATCGACGACGCTGCCGGGACTGCTTGCGCATTACTTCGACAGCGTCGCCATCGTTTAGTATGCACAAAAATAATGAATAATTACGAACATGAGTACATTATTATCGAATAGTCTTTATTGAGCCACCGAGCCGGTTTCTCGGGCCGACTGGATTCCGCCGCCCTTGACATCACGTTCCAGATTGCCCCTCTGTCAGCGGTCCTCCTTCATAGCCTGTCCGCTAGGCTTCATCCGCCTGTCTGGATCTATACAATTACCTGCAATCGTCGCTTATGTAATTTACAAAATTAGATGCTATTGCACCATTACACTATTGCACACACACAGCGTCATACACACATTTATCGGTTAGTTAAATTAATGATGCATCAACGCTAAAGTCTAAGTATAGGTACCAATGTCCAATACTATGTACCAACTGCCAACCGATCAGAACTTCTTGAATTCTATAGTCGTTTACTCGTTTCGTATTACACCTACGTTAGATATCGTCGGGCCTTCATCGTCGTCGTCGTCGTAGGCGCATCTCGTTTTTATTAAAATTGAATAATAATATTATCGATCAACTACACCGAGTTACAGAGCCGAGTTGAACTTTAAATTCTTTAAGGGCAAGTCTAATATTCAACCCATCGGCCACCACTTAAAAAAAAATTCAGAAGCGGTCGCCTCTAGATCACCTCTTCCTCCACGCCACTCTCTGACGAGATGCGGTGGTTGCCGTCGTCGTGGCGATCAGTGGTCGCCCTAGCGGCCGCGTTGGCGTGCGCTGCAGACGCCGCGAGGATATTGGCCGTGGAGACGATGGCCGGTATGAGTCACTGGAACTTTATGAGCGGCGTGCTGGGGGCGCTCGTCGACAACGGACACACGGTCACCGTATTTACGCCGTTTCCTACGGCGGACGGTGGCCGCCGGTGGGCCAACTACACTGAGGTGGACCTGTCCCGGGAACTCCTGGCCACACGAGACGTTCAGATAGCGGACGTCATACAACGGTGGGACTCACCCGTTGGCCACATGTTCGAGTGGGTACGCCGAAGTCGGTTCATATGCGACAAGGTCTACGGCCACCCGGCCACGAGGGACTTTCTAAAGTCACACCGGGACGGCCGCACGCCGTTCGACGTCGTCATCGTCGAGCCGTTCGTGTCGGATTGTGTGTCGTACATGGCCAGCAGGTTGGGCGTACCGCTCATCTACGCCACGGCTGTGCCGTCAATCGGGTTTATGGAACGAGTGCTCACCGGCCACGCGGCCAACCCAGCGGCCACGTCGCACCTGATGGCCGATCACGGGATTCCCAAGACGTTGGCGCAAAGGCTGAGCAATTCAGCTCTTTTCGCGTACTCTAATATAATGATAGAATACGCGGACATGGTGGTCAGGTACACCGAGCCCAGGGAGTACGATATGGTGCCACCCATCACGCCGTCCCTGATTTTCGTCAACAGCCATCACGTCAGTGAACCACCCAACCCCATCCTGCCGTCCGTCATCCAAGCCGGTGGTATACACCTGAAACCGCCCAAGAGGTTGCCGGAGGTACGTGTACGCCTACTGGCATGCTCAATTTTTTTGAAAGGGGGCAATAATTTTTTTACTATTTTCAGACCACTTCATAACATAAAAATCTGTCTTCTTGCATTCGCCTGCAAGTGCTAGTTTTAACAAATACTTTAAAATAATAATAATAATAATACCGTGAGGATGGACAATTTTATGTTTTTTTAGTAGAGAAATTGTTAAGAAAATAGAAATATTTTGAAAGAACAAATTTAATTTTATAACTTAAGGAATTATTATTTGCATCAACAAATTAAAAAATTAACTGGCCTACTCTCGAGTGTCAATACTACCCTACTTGCTATTCACAGACATTTAGTTTTAATACTCATGAGTTATGACTTATGAGAATCATCAGGAAAAAAATATAATGAATAACATCAGAACCAAAAATAAATTTGAGTAAGAAGTAAACAATGTTTTAATCACTGTACGAATGACACATGCTGAAATACTGAGTACATCAGAAAATATTTGATGATAAGTTGTATAAGTAATGTTCTTTTAATCAAGATCAACAATAATAGAATGGTATATAGGTACTTATTATTATCGTAGTATCACACACTAAGATAGAGAGGTCTGGAAACGAGCAACTTTTTTTAAGTGCTAAAGTGATTCTTGCGAGAGGGTGGCCAGAACGGTAATATTTCGATATCCATACATTGCAGACATCTAGCGCAAGCTGGGTAAGTACAATAATAAATCATAAAACCCATAGAGTAAAATATTCTTATACAGTTTACACATTTACAATATTCTACTGTTAAGATTGATTATAAAATAGGAACAAATTAAAAATTTGTTTTTCTTAGGACGTCCCTATATTTATATTTAAAAATAAGAAGCAGCTGAATATAGTAGTATTATACAAACTAGATAGCATTAGTGTATGTTTGCTGTGTATTAATTTGTTGGGAAAGGTGAAAATAGTACCGTAGCATGTGCTGCCTCCCATAGATAGTCGATGATAGATACTGGGACGAATCTGGGAGCCCCCACATCCCCCTTTCCAAAGACTTACTATTGAATAAATGTTATAAATACTGTTTACAACGATGCACACGAATTGCGTACCAAGTCAAGTAAACCAACCTTTTTGAACGAATTGTGTCCCGGACCTATCAATGTACCTATGTTGTGTTTGTATTGTAACAAAATTATTGACCCCCCCCTCTCCTCACCAAGATATTTTTTCTGGGTCCGTGCCTGAATGTTAGCCCCCTGGAATTTATCACACGAAAGTAAATATTTTGATATTTTAAGGTTTAAATGGTCAATTATAAGCTCAAAAATTATAATACAACAAATAAAATTAATGATAAAATCCTTTTCTGGAATGATAAGTTTGGTATATCAAAAGCATTCTGTCTCTTTTCATCCACATTCCGGATCCCTTATTTTAATAATATAGAAGTAACCTATCAATTCTTATGATATTTATAAGTTATAAATGCTCTCCACTACTTTATCATTTCCAGTCCTTTCCATTTTAGTCCATGGTAGATGGTAGATATATTATTATTTATTATTATCAACAAACATACATCGTAATATCGTATACAATATACATCGTCATTTCTGTAAAAATACAAAATACCAATACCAAAGTAAAAATAAACAAAAATAAAAACTAAATACACCCTTATACATTTCTGAAACAGTACCTACCCTTAATCGTACACAATACATTTTAACAAGTTAACTCATCACCAGCTAAAGTTATCACTTATCAACCATTAAAATGAACACTTTGTACGTTGATACCAATGACTAGGGCAATGTTCAATGTTCATGATATCGATTACAAGTCGACACAGTCGAACACATTAGAGAAAGAACACGTTCACTTTATATTTTTTGAACAAGATGTGAGAATATTATTCTCACATAACCAAATAAAAAGTAAACGAAATTCATATTTTTAAGAAATTCAGGACTTTTTTATGTCATTTAAATTAAATTAAATATTTTTTTCAAAATAATATGACTATAAACACTTAAATGCATCATCTGGCATAATATGTAATTTATGTGTAATGTGTATTATATATAATTGAATTACGTGTCCACCCTAATTTTTGCATTATTGGAACTTAACAAAACATTTTAAAGGTTAGTTTCTGTGTTTCATAAAAACTTGAGATAGCCAATATAGAGAACTATATTTTGAATTTTAATGTCTTAAAACAGTTAAAAGTTTAATTATCAATTTCCATTAAGTACTTGAATAGTTTTGTAACTTTGTAAGTTTTAAAGTAACGTAAATACCTGGACAAAAACGGCGATGAGACTTTATAATACCTATTTTAAAATGTATACCTACATTTTAGAGTTTAGTTTTTTATTACTTATTATTTATCATTCTGAAGTGCATTATAAAAACTTTTTTGAAACCCATCAAAATATATTACTTATACATATTTGGTCTTATTATTACTTAACTAAGAGTTTAAAATGTATGAGCATTTGTTTCTAATGACTTTCCTCTAATTATTAATAATACATAATATACATAAGAGCATAAGAAGAAAATCCATTTAATAGATTATATTTTATGTTTATGTTAATTCATCGCGTATTATTAATTGTTATACATAACTGTATAACTATAATAGCCAATATAGGTATATATGTATATAATTTCGTTAACCAACACAATGGTATCGTGTATTCGTGACTCTTGTATTTCGTCGTCATATCATCACATTACTATATTATGACGAAGTAGGTAAATTAATATTCGATTGTACAACACAACGAATAGTGATCAACAACTAACACTACTTAAGATAATATTTCTAAGAACAATTAAAAGTTAAAAAAACCTTTAAAAAATGTATTTATCATAATTAATGTGAATATACCTATTATGTTTTGGTTAACACTTAACACAGATTTGTTTTAGATTCTGAGAAAAGTGACGAATAATATATTGATTATACCTACAATTTATTACTTTTTTTTGTGCCATCGCCTCTTGGTAATAATTTTATTTTTCAATTTTGAGGGAGGTTTCTGGTAGCAAATAGATCAGTTAGGTCTTTATGGAGTCAAAAGTAAAGAATTCCAAGTACTATTCAAAATAATTGGGATAAAAAAAAATTGAGGAATGAATTGTTATTTTTAAGCAAAATCGAATTTATTTTTAAGTTGCAATCCAAAATTGTATTGTTATTATTAAAATTTAAAAAGAAAGTTTTGTCTAGATCCACAATAGTTTTCAATAAGCGTTTGAAGTTAGAATTTTCACAAAATTCGTCAAAATTTAAGTTTGAAAATTGTTTTGTTGTTAAAAGTTCATATAAATTTTTCTTTATATAGAACTTTAATATTTATTAAGCGCAAGATTGGTTTATGTATAATAAAAATAAAAAATCGAGCACGTGGATAACGCTCTTCTATACATTAGATGTCTAGAAAAGTCACTGTAATGGATGTTTAAAATTTAAATGCAATGCTATATAAAGTCGTTGTATACGAATAACGATTCTGAGCGAAGACGGTCAGTCAGCCTATAATATTACTAAGTACTTAAGTATATTTTATGATATTATAATGATTAAAGTTATTTATTTTATTATATAATAGAAATTAGTACTGCAGTAGGTTAATTTAGTATTTGCTGAAAAATTGCATTTGAAAATGTTGAATGTATAAAATTAAATAATATACTGTAAAAGTTTAAAAGTATCCGCATGAATAATATTTTTAAATAACAACAAAATAACTAATTATTCTTCGTTTAAGAATACAATTTCGTCCAAATTTGGGCTTAAAATATCTATAAAATACTGTGTTTATGTATTATTTTATATTATTTAGTTATAGTACAAGCTATTTATTTCCTTATTTTAAATAATCAATCCTGAACATTTTATCAATTTTGTACTAAAAAAACAATTTTGCAAAATTACTAGGATTTTAACGAATTTTGTCAAAATTTGAACTTTAAATACTTACTAACTGCTTTGTTTTTCCTAACACTTTTGAAAACTAGAAAGCTATTTTTTTACTTTTAACGGCCCTAGTACGTACTAGATTCACTTTCCTACCAGTAAAAATGTTGAAATAGAAAATCGAAGCATTTTTACTGCTCCAAAATGTGATGACAGACACAAAAAAACACATATCATTGTAAAATCAATACATACATCGCTTCGCTTAGAATCTAAAAAAGTTACTAGAAGTCGTATTCATTTTTAATGTGCGTTTGAATTTTTACGACAGTCACCCGTAAAATAACTATTTCTTCTCAAACGATTTTCTTATTTTGTTATAGTAAATTCTATAACGAATGACCTTATTATACTTGAAAATTTCTCTAAATGTTGATAAAAGCATTTTATATATTGTGAATTCAATATTTTTCAAAATATTTTACCTTTTTTTTAGTTAATAATAGACATTTGACATTTTTTAGTTTTTTTTTTTTTCATAAATGTCGATAAAAAAAGCTTGGAAATTCAATTCAAGGTTGTTCATTCGTTTTCATAGCTGCTATTTAAAAATATTAAAGATACATAGTCATAACTGTTTTTACAAAGTTATTTGAAGCCACAAAAATTTGCAAATAATTTTAAAATGTTCAATTTTTATGACTAAGGCTTGAAAATCTTATAAAAGTTTCCTTCGTAAGTAGTTCATACTAAAACCAAAAAATTAGACTAAAAAATAATTCTTGTTTTCAGAAAAAATTAAATCAACCCACCATAATACTACACCATTTACTACTGAATAATAGAATAAAATAAACGGAAAAATACTCAAATATAATATAAAATATCCTAATTTGGCGAACATGATAAAATATACCAATTTATTTAACTGACGAACTCCACTGAGTCTTGGCTCAGAATCGTTTTTTTAAACAACAAATACGTCATTTACGCGTTTTTAAATTTTAATACTAAGAAATATACTAAGAAATATGCAATTCTATACAGCAGAGTTTTTAGTGTGTTGAATTTATACATTTAAGTTTAAAATAAATAAGAAGGTTAACAAAAACCTTAATACTCTGATTTCAGGATATATTAGAGTTTATAGAACAATCTCCACATGGTGTCATTTATTTCACTTTTGGTTCAACTGTTAAAATGTCTTCGATACCGGAATATATTAAAAATGCGTTCATTGATGTCTTGAGTAAAGTTCCTCAGAGAATTTTATGGAAATATGAAGATGAATTAAAGGATAAACCAAAAAACGTAATGATGAAAAAGTGGCTTCCCCAACGAGATATACTCAGTAAATAAATTATAAAAATTATAAAATTATTGATGTCAATTGTAAACATTTATACCAGATTCTACTCTTTAGTGCACCCTAATGTTAGATTATTCATCAGCCATGGTGGTATATCTGGATTATATGAATCTGTGGATGCCGGTGTCCCAGTCCTTGGATTTCCTTTATTTGGTGATCAACATAGAAATATTGATAATTTAGTAAATGTTGGGATGGCGATCTCCATGGACTTATTTTCTGTGTCTGAAGAAACATTGTTAAAAAATGTTTTAGAACTTATCAACAACAAAAAGTAAAATATAATTATAATATAATATTAGTGAACGAAATGAGTAAAAATAATTTAACTTGTGTAAGTACCAACTATGTATTTATTATTTTCCATAGGTACAAGATTAATGCTAAAATTACTTCGAACATATTCAAAGATCGACCAATGACACCAGCACAGTCCGTTGTTTACTGGACAGAGTATGTTCTTCGTCACAAAGGTGCACCACATTTAAAATCTCATGCGATTAATCTAACATGGTATCAATATTACTTATTGGATGTTCTTTCTTTAGCAATAATTTTAATTTCAGTAGTTCTTTTTGCAATCTACAAAATTTTTAAATGTATTAATAAATGCACCTCGATATGTTATCATAATGTGAAACCAAAGATCGAATAGGCAAAAAACTATAATTATACCTTTAGGCTATTAGTAATAAATTATAATGTTATATTACAAAACTATTGCATACAAACATAATTTATTTAATTATTTACATTTTTTTGCATTTGTTATTTTTACACATGTATATAGTATATCATGTGTACTGACATAAATCTGTCAAAGTGTATAACCTTCTTAACCTAACCTATCGATGTACTGACCCCAGGAGTAACGATCGATTTTCCTAAAAATTTACAAAACCGTGATTTTCACAATTGAAAAACATTTTTTTTCGTCTTCATTATTCTCTACGTGTGTCATTATTGCCTATTGGGGTAGGTACAATTAGGTATAATTTATATAATAAATGACAATAAGTATAATATCCAAGAAATTATTATTTAAATTACTAAAATTGTATTTAAAAATATTACTTAAATAATCAGAAATAAACGTATACCTATTTGATGTATCATACTATAGGTATAATACCTGTAGTATAAAAATAAGTAATTTATATCCAAATCTTGAATTAAGTTGAAATAATACTATATCTATAATCTATAATTGGTAAAAAATACTTTATTTTTTAAGTTTTCTTCTGTAATACTAGTCAGTGAACTTCACTGACCTCATCAGCATGTTTAATTGAAAATCTGTTTGTCCTGTTAGATAATTGGTTAGTATATTTTGGTACAATAACATTTTTTATAAATTAAAGGTTAAACAAGTAATATAATCTGTGTATATAACAGACTGTAGTTATTAGATCTACGGGTGTCCGTGTTCGTGCCCTTCCCCCAAAAAAACTGGGTTCCTGAGAGTTGCACACCCAACACTTCCGTAATTGCGTCACCGGATTTCCGAATAAAAGTGATAATTTTCTAAAAAAAATCTCGATGTCAATGCTTCTTAAAGAGCCGCAGGTTGCCAACCTCTGACCTGTGCATTAGTTATTAGTAATAAATAATTGATTACTAATAAGTAATAAGTTATTACTTATTAGTAACTCGAATCTTACCCAGTTACACGGTCAACTTGAACATGAGTACCTAGACAAAAGGTAAGCATAAAATAAGTACACTAAATATAATACTAAACACAAATAGCCAATAGGTGATAGTATCTATTAGGTACCTACCTACAGCTTATTCCGATACTCAAATAAGTATTACCGAAATGGAGAAAGAATGTAAAATTACATTTTAAAATTTAAAATTGCAATCGAATTTTGGTGGCCGGTAGCCGTGTTCCTCCTAGCGCAGTAAATATTCAGGGGCCGGCGATCTGAGCCAACTGACCGACCTGGGAAAAGGGTCACTGTCTGCAGTGGCATCTTTGGGAGGGGAGGGGGGTAGGTTTGGTTAGGTTGGCATTGCCCATGTCTGGTTCTGAAAGCAGTCCGATGGGCTGGTACCGGTTATTTCCGATTAACTGCATTATTACGTATATTATTTTAAAGAAAAACATGCCTATTTTTATAATATTTAAAAAATATATTATGTAGGTATATACCTATTGTGTACCAGGAGATTATTGTAAAAATCGATAGTGAATAATTGGAATAATATATTAGTTCTATATTTTTTTAAGTTACCCATTTGGGCTGGTCAAAACTTCTGCCTCCCTACATTGAAAACCGAAATGACCCTACTGAGTCTATCACCACAATCTAACGACTAACTCAATAATATATATGTTACGGGCAAAGTGGAAAATTCGGACAATGTATACAATGTCCAGGCATTGTATACAGTGACCGGGCATTGTATACAATGTCCAAGGTATATCGGGCAATGTATATTGTGAAGTATTTATACAAATAATCTGCATAATATTATTATACCTAATCAATGATATTATATACTAATTTAATTATACTCGTTTATATGGTTATTTATATAAGAGTATTACAATTTTTTTTAATTAATTAAATTTTAAATGTATTTAAAGGTAATGAAATAAAATATTATGTGCATAATGTTCAGTTATATGATATTATGCATGAAGTTCATTTGTCAATTGGACATGGAGATAGAAATAGAATGGAACACGAGATTAATAAAAAGTACAAAAATATAACTAGAGATGTAATAATGTTTTACTTAAATAATTGCGAATTGTGTAAAAATAATGGAAGTACTCAAGTACAGCTAAAAAAAGGTTGGTTGTATAACCAATCATATCTTCTGAAATGAATTCTCGCTGTCAAATTGACTTGATCAATATGCAAGCACAATCAGATGGTGATTATAAGTTCATATTAGTTTATCATGATCATCTAACAAAATATATTATGCAGATTATTTGTATAAATACTTCACAATTTACATTGCCCAATATACCCCGGGCATTGTATACATTGTCCGAATTTCCACTTAGCCCGTAACATAATATATAAAAAAAACCAGACAGCAGACGCCGGCCGGAAAATTCCAGTTGTCTGTAGTCTGTACTCTGTTTTTTCCCCCAAAATTTCTATGGTAGGTAATAAATAATAATCAATTTGTCTTATCTTTTTACCTATAATAATAAAAAATGAATTCCAATTGAAAATTGAATATTTTTTATTTTTCCATTACAAACTTAATATTTGACCTTGATGAACATTTTTTTCATAGGTACAATCTGTAAGGAAGTTTCACTTTATCCGCCCTTACTATTGCAACACTCACGACTTTTCGACTTAGATATTTAATTTGGTGGAAATGGGATAACAGACTTACTTACGGAATCGTACGGAACTATACCCACTCTACTTTCTGATCGCATACATTTTCTGAGCGGAGATATTGATTTATATTGATACCTATTGATTTTACAATGATGTATGTTTGTTTTATTTTTTGTGTATGTCATCACATTTTGGTAAAAGGAGTTTCGATTTTCTACCTCAGCATCTTTTCTGGTAGTGAAGTGAATCTAATTGATACTTTGTAGGGTCAAAAGTAAAAAATGTCCAGTAGTTTTAAAAAATGTACCGGAAAAAAAATTTAAAAAAAACAGGAATTTTTCACAGAATCGATTTTATTTTATGGTGTATAGGTAACTCAAAAACGAACGAACGTACCTTCCTAGGTTACGTAACTATAAATTGTTTATATGACTATTTTTCAAACATAATTATATTTTCAAAATATTTAGACTCATTTTGAGCTATGTAAGTACAAGCATGAGATGTTTTTCCTTATTAGGCATTTTCGATAAATAATTTTGCTTTGAAAAGAACTAAGGATTCTACTAAGTACTAGCGTATTGCGCACATAAAAATCGTACCTGCTTAAGAGTAATTTGCACAATTTTATTTATAGTGTTCGTCAGAATATATTATATGGGTTTTTTTTTGTTTTTGTTTATCGATACCTACTTATCGGTCGTTGATTACCTAATTATTATTTATTACACATTTACGGCTGTGACTTTGAGCTTGGTATCTACCTTTATAATATTAGCCACCAGGTAAGAGTTTTGCCTTTTGTGTTCAGACATACCTAGGTAGGTACCTATTTAAAGTTTACCGATAATTCCGTTCAAATAATGAATAGTGATGTTATGTCGGAGTATTAATTCAATTTTATAACATTTCGTTTTTGTTAATACCTCTTACGAATTACGATTCACGGTCGATACACACATTGTTTCGATTTGTGTGGCACAACAGTCAACAGTCAAAAACAATTATATTATTCAATTTTCCTGTAAACCAAAATTAATTGTCTAATATGCAGCTTCCCGAACGAAGGTAATAATTATCCGGTGTTAGTTTAAGATTTAAGCCACTGGTTTTAAAACTTAATATTTGTGTAAGACCTAATTGATTATTTATTAATTTAGTATTATTATTTATGTATCATTCATTCAATTGAATGAAATACTTTCATTTTTTCTCGGAATATCCGTATACTGTGGGTAGGTATAGGTACTTTTTTTTCATCGATTTAAGATCACATAAGCCCTGTGATGTTGATAATTGATGAAGGGAGAATATTATATTTTCTATACATTAATAAATTCAAGTTAAGCTCTAACTTTGAGTTTTATTTGAATAATATGTTTATTTGTTTATAGCTACCCACCTACAATCTAAATTTATAATAGCCAAAAATGTTAGCTAGGTACCTAGCCACCTGGGTCATCAATATATCATTCAAAGAAGCTAAACCATTTTTAAAAAATAGCAACAATATTTACTAGAAATAACTGCGAGACTCAAACGGTTAGGATTCTTGCCTCAATTTGTTTCTTAAAATATATGATTTATTAATTTACATTTTGAGAAGCTTTTCTTAGCATATGCAAAAAAAAAATAACATAATGGAAATAAATTTTTAAGTATGTATTATATTTTCAATTAACATAACATTGTAAGTAGGTAAGTTCAGTAATTTTACAGTTTCAGAACTGCTGGGCTTGAGACAACTGCTCTTTTTGCCCCCTCCCTTCCTGAATACTTATAGAAATTAAGAAAATTATCAAGCCGAGCCTAGTTTATGTAAATATTTTTTAGTTCAAATGTTTTTGTGTAACTTCGGTTGTTATTTTTATATTGAGATTTGAGATGCAAAATATCTAATTTTAAATATTACATTAAAATATAAATGTATATAATAGGTATATACTTTAATTAAGTATTGGTATGATTGGTAATAAATATAATATGAATGGAGATTCTCATTTTCCATTCCTATAATGTTTTACATAGGCATAGTACATACCTATGTAGGTAGAGTTGTATAAATAGTTATAAGCAAAATGTGTTCTATATATTTTATTGTAAATTTCTGTAAAATCAACCAGTTGAACAACAAATTTTTACTGCCTTTTTATGTTTAACAAATGTGGTCGAGTTTTTACTTCTCGGTTAAGGTTTAAACAATTTGGAAATTGTTAATGTATAATATTATAATTTATAAACCTAATTCAAATTTCATATTACTACATAGGTAAACTATTGTAAATCAAAATAATTAAACAAATGTTTGTTATTGTTGCATTTTAGAAAACTGTTTCAACAACGCCGTCATCGTAGAGAAGAAATTGAAGCTCAGCTGCGTAGAGCGCAGATTGAAGACCAGTCTAGTTCTGAAAATAGTAGTTCTGAAGATGAAGATTCATTTGAAGATGTATCAGATGATGAGGGGGCAAGTGAAGATGAATCAGAAGAAGAAATAGTAAATGAAGGTGAATCAGAAGAAGAAGTGATTAATGAAGATGAATCAGAAGAAGAAGTGATTAATGAAGATGAATCAGAAGAAGAAGTGATTAATGAAGATGAATCAGAAGAAGAAGTAGTAAATGAAGGTGAATCAGAGGAAGAAGTAAATGAAGATGAATTAGAAGAAGGAGAAGAAGCTGATGAATCACAAAAGGAAGACTACAAATCAGAAGAAGAAGAGTACAATACAAGCTCCCATGAAAAAAGCTTAGCAAATAGCATTGGCAGTCATAATAATGATAGGTAAGAAATATTAAACGCTAATTTATTTATGATAAATTAGTATTTTTTTTGTTACTGTTTAGTCAAATATCTGTTGCCCATTATGAATCTAATGAGACATACCCGGTTAATACTATGCTTGCTAAAAATAATAATGTACTAATGAACAAAAATAATTCTGATGATGACGATGATGATGATAAATCACAAACTTTGTATGACTCTAATTTTAATATGAATGAACTTCAAAATCAAGTTGTTGAATGGATGGTAAACAGAGAAAGTCAAAAACCATATGGTGGAATAATTGGCAAGTTTTAAATTAAAAATATTAGAGTATAGGTGAAAACTTAATTTACTTTATATTAATATAGCAACTGATATGGGTACCACCGATTGTAAAATTACGATATTAATGCATTTGTTATCGAAATCCAACCTTCCTAATTCAGATAACACACAATCGGAAGGAGAAACTGATTTGGATGAAAGTGTTTTCTCAAAAGGATGTACATTGATTTTGTGCCCAAGGTCAAGTATAGATCACTGGGTTAATCGTATGAACGAAATAAAAAAACAAAATTCATTAGACGTGTGGCTACATTATGGAAGAAATCGAGATATATCACTTGAGGAGTAATTCATCTTATCATTATTATTATTATTACTTGTGCATATTGTATACAAATTTCAATAAATATTTTCTTATAAAATTCTAGTTTAACTCAAAAAGATGTCGTTATCACAACAGTTACAATGGTTGTAACAGGTTTCCGCAACAAAATAAATGTAAGAATATACCTTAATAACTCATTGTTAAGTCTATGGTTTTGTTACCTTTATAATTTTTGATTTAGTGTTTACTTTACATAAGTTGTTACTTGATGAAAAATAATGTAATATAATATTATGGATCATAACTTGTTGACAGCATTGTAAACATGCTAATCAATATTCAATATTGCAATTCAATATTTCCAAAATACTTCTAAAAAAATATCCTGCTACCATCTATGAAAATAAAAATAATGTTAATACAATTTTAAATCAAATACCTATTTTATTTGTAGAATCCATTATATCAAATAAAATGGGACCGAATAATATTGGATGATAATAAGCTCTATAATTATAAACAGCAAACTTCCAAGGCTTTATGTCAATTATCAGGAATTTGCTATTGGGTTTTTTCTGGACCAACAATTATTGACAATGATGATGATGAAGCTATCTATAGTTTGATTAAATTTATAAAATATGATCCATTAAATATATTGGAAGTAAGATAAAAAATTAATATTGACACAGTAATAAAATATGTAACTATGTACCTATTTAAAATTTTATTTCAGAATTGGAAATAGTGGATAAAAATAAATCAAACTGTATCAATCCATGAAAAGTTGGGGCATTTATTTTATAACAAGAAAATTGTTTGAATAGAAGGTGATATTTGTACAATTATATATTTTATTAAATTTTTATTTTTATATTGAATTATTTTACTCAGATTCTAGTTATGTATATTTTGTTTTATACCAATGTCTTAAAAATTAATTCACTGAATGAGACTGGTCAACAAATTTTTAATTATAGATGTACCTATGTATCAATAAATAGTATTTTAGTTGTAAAGTTTGTCTCATAAAATATTGTCAATCACACATATTTAAATAAAATATTTTAAGGCAATACCTACTTATGTAATTTATATTAAAATACAACAACTCTGCCCAAGTTTGTTGAAATATCTAATTGAAGTACCGGTGTACATAACAATCTAAGTTACACTTGAATTGTCTGTGTTATATTGTCTTATAAATGGTTTTAATTATTTGAATAGTAACAACACTTGAGTGTTTACATTGAGTCAAATCTGAAACAAGTAAAGTCGTGGTGAATGATAAATTTCATATTATATCTAATTTTTGAGAAGCTAAATGAAAACTGTCAGTTCTATGTCTTATGGCATCTGAAGTTTAAATAGAAGTATGTATTCCAGCCCTTTATTTTCAATAGTAACAGCTATAAGATTTATTTACCTAATGAAATATTTTTATTATTACCACATTCAAATCAAACTTAATAAAAAAAATTGTCTATAATATTAAATATTATCTATGTACATTACATTGTACAATATCAAATTATTAATAATGTATCATTTATGATAACATTTAATGTAATTTTGGTTGCAAGAATTCAAATTTGAATCAGTTGATGTAATTTATTATGATATTAAAATGAGTGACTGATATCTAATCTTATTTTTATTATTTTTATTTTGAGTTTTATTCTTATTTATCTATTTGGGTATTTGGCTCCAAATTGGTGGATCAGAGATCACATTATCCCAAATTATTAGGAATAAAATTGGCTTTAGGTTTTTAATTTGCAATATATTAAACACAAACAATTTATTAATTGTTGATCTTTTAGGTAAGTTATAAAATAACTCGTAAATCCAAGATCTGATATAATATTAATCTACGATACAAGTGCAATTGTGTAATATCATTGATTACAAGTAATACTATACTGTGCCCAAGAGAGAACATTAAGGTTTTGTGCATGCAGACTGACGGTGGAAACCGTTCCAAGGCCCCATTTTCCCCACTATTAGTCTGCGTACAGCGGTTGGCATCCCAAGTAGTGGGGAATGCGGAAACAGTAATCTTCTCTAGTGGGCTGCAGTATAAAAGTATTAGTTATAACAGTTAAATCAATTTTAAATGAATACCATCCAAGCATGTGGAAATTCATATTAGCATTAAAAAAGAAGAAATTAATAAAGTCAAAATTGAACAATATATGGTAGGCAAATGTTCTGCTAAATAACTAGCAATGTTTAAAATAAATTTTTTATGGTCTTGAAAATAGACTAATCGTTAAAATATATTTAAAAGTAGCTCTTAATAGTAATTACCTATTATAATAAAATACTCGTTTTTTCTAAATAAATTTGACGGTTTACTTTGCTTTTTGAACTAATTCAACTGAAATGTGCAATCCGGCAAAGGCGGATTGATTATACTCTTTTTGAACATGGTTCAAACTTCTCCCTAAACATTACTGATATATCTAAGAACAATCCCCAATATTACCAACATGTAATATTTTAACTTTTGTTAAAACCGCTCAAGTAGTTTTTTAAGCTTCAAAAATAAGGACATTGTCATATGTTGTACATTTGAATGACAAAAACATTAAACTAAATATTATTTTATTTTATTATTTGATGACTGATCAAACTCGACTCGACCGTTTTTTTTGTTAGGTATTTCAGACTTTAGAAACCATAATAATAATATAATATACTTAGGAATAAGACATCATAAATCTGTTTCTCTTAATTAAGCACCCAATTAGTACTCTTAGTAAATACATCAAATTATTAATAATAATAATATTATTACAAATGTTTTTTAAATCAATACTCAACTAAGTATACTTCAATGTAATACAAATAATTCAACAAATTGTATATGATACATTTTTTAATAATTTAATCCATAACATATTTTAACATTGAATATTATTTTTATATTTTTTATATTTATGCCTTTGACAATATATGTTGTTTACGTGCCCTTTCCTTCATTTTTCCCTATAACATACAAAAAACAATTATATTAAATGTTAAGTTAATTTATAAGATTATATAATATATTAGAGATAATATTATTAATCATATTAGCTGAGAGAATCTGTACACTGTTTAACAAGTTAAATTTACATTTGTACAAGGGTTGACCTGGATATTTAAGTGCCTAGACATAAATTATTTCTTGGGCTCAATAACGTTAAAAATAACTTTAAGAAGAACATTTAGACATAATAACATATAACATAATGTTATATAGATAAAAATAGTCTAGATTGTCTAAACATAGTCTTATAGGAGTTGTCTTTATTTTAACATAGTGATACATGGTTATATTATATCATTAGTGAACGGGGGCTCCAAAAACCATAACACAGTAGGGGGTTCAGTTCAGGCAGGAATCCCATTTTTTAAAATAATTGATAGGTCAATATAAATGTTTAATACATACTATTGTTCATTACATTTTAAAATGTTATTTTGCTTTTTAAGTATTTAACTCAATATGCAATGAATAGCCTCTTAAAAGTTGTATTAAAATACATCAATACTAATACTAAAAACATATACTAACCTTTGTTGGAAATCTCATACAACTGTGTTCAATTAAACAGCATTTGTTACATTGTTTGCAATGTTTCCATGTTCTTTTCACACATCTTTTACACAAATTACAGTGTATGTATGCACGACCATTCTGTAAAATTAAATATTTAATAAACACAAGAGTAATAATGAATAATTCAGATATTAATAGATAATATTATGTAAATATCAGTGATTTTACAGTTAGTCAATCCATCTAATCTTCTCTCGTTTGACTTCTATACTTAAAGTCATTAAATTTGATAGCTTCTAGAAATGTAGTTTTTAAGAGGACACCACACCACCAGTAATTTATCCATGAAAATGGTTTAGTGCTTGACAAGCCTATAGAAACAGTACTCACAGTAGCTTGACCAATATTTCACAATACATTTTTATATACAGGCAGCCCAAATCATTTATTTGTAAACATTAATTAATTTTTTTTAATACAAATTATAAAGTATTGATATCAAAAAATAAAATGTTGAAACAGATAAAATTTGGTTAAGATACTGTGAATAGTCTCCATACATTAATTGTACTGTTCTCAAAATTTAATACAATCTCAGCAATCGAATGAAAAACAAAACCTAACAGCTTCCTTGACGAAATCAGAACTTTATAAAACCCCCTACTTTCACTTCACACCGTTCTTATAAATAAACTCACAATGAATTAATAATAATCCCTATAATCTAGATAAAAACTTGAATCTACATCATATTTATTATGTAATTCTTTACAATCATAAAACATTATCGGTATTCTACTATATTAATATTTATAGTTTGTTTATCTTATTATTTATTATGGTTGTTGAGCTATAATAGTTTTATACTTCTAATATAAGTAATACTACTACTTTATTTTGTATCTAAAAAATTAACTATTTTCTTAGTTGCTATAATTGGATTTGAATATTTTTAATTGCTTCAAATAAATAATGAGTACTTATACAAACTATAAATTTAATTTTTTGGTATTAGGTACCTAATAAAAATATATTTACTTTTGATGTACAGCTATTGCACTTGTAGCAATGTACATTTTCTGAGCAAACCCATCGATTACATTCATCACAAAATCTATAATTTTCCTCGACTGGTAAAGATATCTTGCATTGATCTACATTTGTAAATATCCGAATTGGAGACCCTTTATTCCGCCCTAGATATAATATAAAATAAAACAAATATGTTGTTTTAGTTTTTAGTTTAAAAAAAAAACAGTTTAACAACATTAAAAAATACCAACCAGAACTATTAAACTTCTTATGATTTATGTAGTCAATTTTATAATCTAGCATTGACATACCAGGTAAGCAGTTGACCACAAAACGTTCCATAAAGTAAGGTAATACCAGAAACTCTGAAAAATAAATCATCCCTTTGATATTTATTTAAACACAACGAGAAAGATAAAATATGCATACTCGATAATATGCTTTTGTTGTTTTTCTTCCTAATTTGATCAAATTTGTCTAGTGTATAAGCTAATGGTTCAAGTCTGCCACCAAAAGGAGGGTCAATGAACACGGCTGTTGAATCTCCTTGAGTCAAAATGTCTTCCAATACAAACTCTGAGTCACATTCTTCAAGTATATGGCAGTTATACATGTTAAACCATCTGAAATGGTCACTTTCATAAAATTGCAGCTGAAAAAAACATAAATAATCAAATTTTTACCATTAAGTCAGATAATAATAAATAAATATTATTTCACATACATATCTATGATCAATGTCAAGTAAAACACTGTTCATCTCGGGTACATTGCATAATATCCTTTCATGTATAGTAGGAGCGCCAATACAAATAACATTAGTTGTACCAACGGAGCGAAACATTTTGACCAACATTTCAATGGTGTTTTCAGTAAAAAAATACTGAGATTCACTTTTAGATTCTTGAAGTGGTCTAAACAACTAAATTAATTTCCACACGTTTTAAATCACATTAATATATTTTATAATATAATAACTAAAATATGTTTATAATTATAATATAAATAGTACCTGTGAAGGGTGAGATAATTTTAAGTCATTTATATTTTCTACCAGCATTTCACAATGGTCTGAATGCAACTCCTGTTCAGTCTTAGAAAATAATTCACCACATTTCTGACAGAAACATCTTTCTTCTGGGCTTAAATTTTTTACATGATCGTACCTGAAATAAATTTTAAACTTTTTTGAAGTGTTATACATTCCAAATATTTTACATTAGGTATAGAGTATAGACTACCTATTCAATATGTTGGAACCCCATGTATGTCACCATATAAGGATAAGGAAGTACTCTTACTCACAAAAAAGTTGAAGTCCAAATGTTAAGTACTTATTATAATTTCATCAATATATTTTAAGTGTTTAAATTGTAACTAAAATTCTATTCTTATGTTCCCAAAAATTAAATTCAACTCTGTATTTTCTATTTGTGAAGAATTACTAATTGGCTAGTTATTTTTCTATGTCCAAAAAATATGATTTAAGTTGCAATTTTTTAAGTCTAAAATAATAATTTAAATAAGAGATAATAATGTGTTTTCTGGTATGACGTCACATTCAAATTTGGGCGGTTTAGAGCTTTAAATACAAGTCCAATGTCCACTCTTGGTATAATCACTAATGGTCAAACAACTTGACTTTTCGTGTTCCTACAGTTCATACATCAGTGAGATGACAACTTTCCTGACACATCCCACGTCTAAATCCTACAGACTACAATCATGTGTAGCTGCATTAACTAATTATAACTACCTACTGCACAGTTATTTGCACCTATAGATATGAGTTGTATTGTTTTTAATCAACATTTTTTTCGTAATATAAGTTGTGGCTTATATTGTTATCGGCCTATATGGTTGTATGACGTACATTATTTAAGTACCTGAATGACTCTTTGATGTATAATAGTAGTGTTGGATGCATCAGGTTCAATGTCCAAACATATTATATTGTAGTAAATTATTTTCCTTATTAAGTAATTGAATAGGTAAGTCAACATTAGTGTTTCCCAACCTTTTTACCACCACGGACCACTTTGACAATATTTTATAGGTCGCGGACCACCTCAACTTTACGAAAATTAGGAAGACCTTTTTTTTTGCTCATTAACAAGTATAATATACCGCAAACCACCTGTTGGGAAACACTGGTCTACATCATAGTATATTATATTGAATAGAATATTTGAGCTAGTAGCAAAAATCTATATATACAGTATGTCATCTTATATGTACCACTAAATATCTTAGCTCTGCGACCTAATAGCAATTCTCTAATTTTTGTCACTAGATATGGATAAGACTTTTTCTGTAAGTCACTTTGATTCATTTATCATGATCTAAATCTAAAATTGACTGACTCTGTAAAGTTTGCAGCTTTTAAAAGTTCGTAAATAATTTGATTTTTTTTTTCCCCCAAAACATAGCATGCTTTTATTGAGTTATTTTTTACATGGATTTGGAAATTTTTATTATGCAATGAAATTTGATTTACTTTGAATCATGTAATTTTTATGTAAATTTATTATTTTATCTCATAAAATTTTCAAAATTATACACGTTATTTTCAAACACCCTTCCAGTGAACAAGTGATTTCTTTACACGTTGCTGTCAAATTTTAAAAGATGAAAATTAAAAGTAATTAGTTAAATTTATGATAATCACCTGGATTGTAGTTTATATCTCGTCATTTTTGTTACAATGAGATCTCTTTCATACTGATCCATGAACTGCTGTCCAATTGATTCAATTTGATTTTCCCACACAAAAAATGAACATTTTTTTCGATCTCTGTGTGCCGAGCAAGAGTAAAACTTTTTATTGTCAGATCCTCGAGAAAACAATAGTGTTGGTCCTTAAAAGAACAAGAAACTAATTTAATAATCAATCAATGATAAATTAATTTTACAACAAAAAAAGTTCTATCTTGAACCAAAAGAATAATATAAAAGCATATTAGATACTCAACATTTTAAAATTTAGTTAATAGATTATTGTTAATGATTATAAATATTCTTTATTCGTTAAAAGTATTTAATTATCTATAAAATATTTAAGTTCTAATTTCTAACAAAGTTTAAAATGCCTTTCCTACAATAATTATAAGTCGCATAATATTAAATTTGTGTGGAATTGCGGACATAAACTGTAATCAGAATTGTTGGCTAGCCACTGCAATACACAATGACTACGACTCGTTTACATTACAATATCAATAAATAAATAAAGAAGCAACAATAATTACCATGAGAGCAATGAGGATGTGAGTTCAAATTATCCATGTGAACGGCAACAGTTTTGATGTACTCCTCCGTCATCTTTGCGTCGGCAACAGTTGGCAAGGTGAAAGACAATTAGGTTAATACCAAACTTTGTGGTTGGTCAAACGGTATTAATTCCAAAGTGAGAATTAGAAATTAAAACACAAAGATAATAAAATACTAGTATGAACGACTTGCACAACCAACATTAAATACTTGACGTTAAACAACTAGATTGGTTGACTAACGAAATTACGAATTGACAAATTACCAATATATAGCACCAACACAACTATTCACTGGGCACCGCAGCACTGACTGTACTGAGATATATCTTTAATCGTCCTACTGACTTACTATTTACTTAAGTAGCAGATTCCAGAGACGAGACACTAGAGTACTACTCTTAATCTATGTGTGTAGACTGAAACCATGACACCCAATAAGTCCTGTGAGGCTGTGAGGTATTGACCATAAAAAATAATATAATATACTGACTACTGACTAGCCACAACACCACGTGTGTGAAAGATTGTTGACTTTTTAATTTTTGTTATCATTTGTAATTTTTTTTTACCCGTATTCTTATCAACATTGAATTTTATTTTATCTTGATACATATAAATATATATTACAAACTTTCTATACAATAATATTATGGTCTATGATGATAACGACGACAAGACTCACACGAGTAAATTGTACCAATTGGTACAATTGTACAAGACCTGAAAATGGAGGGAAATTCACCAAATCATCAAGTCGAATATCAACCGTTATTGTTAGTGATTTACAGTATTTGTATCGTATTAACTATTAATAATTAATATTAGTCGAGTACCTCCTGGACTATATTTAATACACTATTTTGTTTTATCGTATATTAATCCGTGGTATTCAATACGCGTTCTACTGACTATCCTAATTCCTTAACCCCAGAATTATAACCCGAATAGGATACGAGGACACTAGAAACCGTATGAAACACTGCGGTCTGCATCGATCGCCAATCTGCCTGTCTGACATCCATCGATTATGGATGATTTTGTGGTACACCATTTCCTCAGGTGTCATTCGAAGTCCGACAATGATTCGGCTGACGTTTCCACACAGGTAACAACTAACAACAGGTAGTAATTAATTAGACTTGTTTTATAGGTAGTACATTTCAATAAATGTTGTGTTAATGTACAATTCATTTTTTGCTACAGGTGTGGTTTGCAGCGTTCGAACCATCCAGTAAATCCCACTTAGTGGCTACGTGTGGTGGCAACAAGGTCTGTGTTATCGACGTAAAGACAGGACAGGTCCAGTTTAGATATACTTATCTCAAGTAAATAATTGAAATATATTACACATTTTCCTTCTCTGTCTCTAATAGTAGCACAAGATAATTATTCTGTAACAAAACTGACTTATTTATTTTAAAAAAAGATTATACTAAGTTTTAATAATTCTATAGTAATTTGGTACCTATTATAATTATATAATCTTATATCAAAGATATTTGGAACTCAAAAGTTATAATAAATTAAAAATGCTATAAATAGTATTACATTTTATGGTAGAATCCAGTCATTCTTGATTTATTGTTGAACATAACTTTGTCTTCACAATGCTCATTTTCAAAAATTATCATTCACAATGTGACACGCACAGTCAAAAACATTTTTGGAACATTTGAAAATCAATTAATCATTGAACGGTACTTTCATTTAACCAATGTAACCAAATTGTTTGTAGTTAATTAACATCCGTGTCAAATACATTTTTTAATTTTTTCATATTATCTTCAATAGAATTTAAATTTCTGATTGATACAATATTATGAAAATTGAATTATGTGCCTTACCTATCTTTGAATGATAAAATGCAATGTCATTATTAGGGAACGGATTTTATTGTAATAAAAAAATCAAAATATGTACATAAATATGTACTTATTTTTATTGAAATATGTAAAAAAAAATCAAAATATGTTTTAACCTCTTAACAGAAAAAATAGTACCAAAAGTAAGTATAAAAATCTTATCTCTTATCTAATTAATAATTATTAAAACAATGCGAAACTACATATTCCCTAAGATTTAAAAACGTAAAATGGTGGCGATTTGGTCGGAAAATGTTTTTGTATTGACTGAATGAACGTTCCACATCAACTGACGTACTGATAGCATACCGATTTTTCACAAAATTTACAGTATAAAACTTACCCATCACATTGAAATGTTCCATTCGAAAATTCTTTTAAATATGCGGCTACCTTATTATTGATTGAACTTGCAACTTTAGGCATTCTAAACAATTTTATAAAAAAAACAAGACAATTTCGATGTAGATATGAAGAAAAAAACGATGCAAATAATTACGCCCGCCAGAACAGTAACTATAGACATACACTGAAGACTGTAACATTGAATAAATACGTTACCTACATGCTTGTCCACAATGTATAATACGATAGCAGTGTATAAAGTACGTAAGTTCATTTAGAGAACGTAGATAATGTTTATCGTCATTGAAAATTACAAATATTATTATTTTAGGCTTTCGTCGATAGCGCGTATAATATTAATATATAGACCATAGGGTATCTGAATGCCATTAAGATAAGGCAAATAATCATTGACGTCGTTGTAAATTGACAAAAAAAAACCAAAAATACCCAAATATGTAAAAATATGTAAAATAAAATTGGGCTTATTTTAATAAGAATGATCTGAATCGTGCACATTTTTTATCAGATTAAAAATATCTCATTCCAATAAAAATATGTATTTACAATAAAATCCGTTCCCTAGTCATTATTATACTTCCGAATTCCAGCAGTTAGTAAAAGATAGTCTTTTGGTGCCTACCCAAAAATTAAATGCTGGTGTGGCTATAGCATAACCTACTATAATTTGTGTACACGGATATGATTTACAATCAAAGTGCAAAACATAAATTCAATTGGTTTCAAAATATGCTGTTTACTCACAAAATAGCATGTTTTTTTTATTCAATTTATGATATTTGCATTTTTCCGAGGAAATATATTTATCACCACTGTTTAGTATTTCAGTGTTATACATTTGGAGTACATTTTGCAGTGAACATTTTTTATCCAATATAAAAATAATAGTTGATTGTGTTAAGAAGAATGTGTGTGTAATTTAAAATACAGAAAAAAATTTGTTTGATTTTCTGTGGCTTTATTTCTATTAATAATTTTAATTTGATAATTTATTATTGCTTTTTTTTTTATTATTTTAGCTTCGACAACTGAGGCCATTAGCTGTAGGTTGTGGTACTGTAGGGTTTTGGAACATGTGTGTGTTTGTTTGTCAGAATTTCTAGTGGGCACCCTTAGGTTTCTGCAATGCCCAGTTGGGGGATAGCGGCCTCTCTCCGGACACCGTGACTGGCCGGAGAGAAGTGTCGCCCATGACCGAGGTTCGAATCGGCAACGATGCGCGTTGCAACCGATGCATTATCCACTCGGCCACTCCGTCCCCCTATTATTGCTTTATTCTGTCATATAAGTTTTAAATTTTGATTTAAATTTAGAATACATTTTAGTAGCTGATTCTAATTTACCTCTAATTGTTATATTTCCATAGAGGACTGTTGTATACATTATCTTGGAGTACAGCATGCCCCCACAATAATATATTGGCCGCTGGCGGGACTAACAATACAATTGTGCTTATAGACTTGTCAACCAAATCAGCATACCTTCACTACAATTTATTTGAAAAGATCCATAGAAAAGTATTTATTAGTTCCATTTTATTTCATCCTTTTCAAAATATATTGTTTTGTGAGTATTTCCTCAACTGTCAATTTTCATTGTATTATTTTTATTAATCGACTAATTTGTTGGTCTGTTTTTAGGTGCATCAAACAATGGATACTTAAACATATTCGATTTCGAAACTTGTGATTATCGTATCGTAAATCTTGAACCCCGATACTCCATTGATCTCAAGTGTGAAATATTTGGATTAACATTTTGTGAAATAAATGATTATTTACTCATTGCCACTAATATTGGTTTAAAAGGATGGGATAACACTCAGAGGTAACACAATTCATTATATATTTTTTAAATATAAATTGGTTGTTCATGTAGTACCTAGTTGGTCACCGATCACTAATAAGGCTGGCACTGAGTACAAAATACAAACTTGATGTGGTGCATTTAAATGTTTACATGAGGGAGGGGGGGTTATAAATAACTTTCCAAGTAAAACGAATACTTTTACTCCATACATACATCATAAATTAATTACGTTTTATAAATCATATGACAAAAACAGAATAGGTAAAATTTATAACACTATTTGGTGATTAAATTACACGAGGCATCACCAGTGGTGTTTCTTTTATTGCAATGCCTCTGAGTGAGCCAAATCCTTGTGAACTGCCAAGACTGTTGAGATGTATATATTTTATATTTTGAAGTCAGAATAAAAACTTATAATGTATCCCTTATTCCTTAGATTGATTGACATTTTCTCTTTACCCTCTTTGCCAGTTTGAAGTCAAGCCGTGTAGACTACTGGCCAGGAATCCAACAGTGTTCAACCAGTATACGATAAGTAAATTCAAAAATGCAAATACTTATTGATATTAAATGTTTTCATCTACCAAGCTGTAGTCTGTGGCATATTTATTATTTTATGGCTTATATACTGAGTTGGATGGTTTGTACTGTGATTTCAGTTAGAATTTAACTTCCTTATTTAACTGAGCTATGAACCAGTTCTTAAAATGTTTTTTGGAAACCACTGTGTCAAGCATTCCAAAAAAAAAAAAGATGCAAATAAATTAATACTAATAACCAATTAATATCTTTTTAATTTCTTTAATAATATATAATACTGTATTATTTGAAAAAAAATGACCCCTTGATCATTATCAATTTATTGACTGTAGCTTATGATTTGGCAATAAGGGTTGTCTCATACATGATAGAAATAGCCAAGTATGATCACAGAAAATACAGCTTAATGGTATGTTTTGCACACCACATATGTTGTGTGCACGCTGCAAAGTGACATTGGCTGCTCAACCTGACAATCAGGAACTTCAACGTATTTTTTGTCAACATGATGTCAGTTTATCGGATCTGCATGATCATACCGAGTTACTTCTATCATGGTCTCATAATTTTTTATAAGTAGATTTATAACACAAAAACCATTCACCCATTTTAACTACTACAATGTATGTGTAGCCAGGATCAAGAACTTATAGATTTTGAACTTCCCAAAAATCCTAATGAAATGTACAAGGATCAAAATGAAAACGTAATTGATTCAATCGAAATTGTTAAAGACAGTTGGATTGCTACTAAAGCGGCACTGCACGGAGTTATATACATTTTCGATCTAGAAGCAACACTGTCCAAAACTAAGAATAACAAGTGTTTAGTGAAACCAACTTATATACTTCAATGGAGTGACACAGACAACTATTTTATGAGCTGTGGTGTTGGCCTTGGTATGTATTTAGTATTATTATTAAAACCGTTATGCCCTATATAATAAATATTTTATTCACACATTACAGATGGCAAGCTCTTAGTGTGTGGGGATGATAGAGGTAGCGTTTGGATTTACAACCTGAAAGACATAGCCTTCAAATCTTCAAAAAGTGATTCAAAGGTCATTACCGTCGATTCTGTCTTGAAATGGCCCAAACTTCATGACAAGTTTTTGAAAAAGAAAAAGAAATTGGAAGTAGATGTTTATGACATAGTAATGGCTAAATGTGCTGTGCACTCTAGTGGAAAATATCTTGTTGCGGTTACTAATAATAATTTGGTTTGCTTGTACAAGAAGTCAGCAGTAAGAAAATAAAATACAACTTAGTATTACAATTTAAAATGTTATATTATTTCAATGTATTAGGAAAAATTACAATTTGTATGTAAATGATGTAAATTAAATAATTATTATTACAGACAAAACTTATAAGTTATAATCCTATTTTCTATCAATTTACAAACTTATAAATTACGTCAGGTTTACGGATAACTTAAGGGTTCCATGTGTACATGGCTATATAAAAAAAAAAGAGATGAATTATAATTAGGTATCACAATATTTTGATAAAAATCAATCCACCAAAGAATACAGAACTTGAACAATGGACATTTTAATTAGTGCCAGTAGATCCAAAACCACCTTCACCTCGATCAGTCTCATCCAATGTCTGAAATAAAATAAGATAATTAAATACATTTTAATGCTAGGTATTAAAAGTTATACAACATACCTTAAACTCTACTACTTCTGGGTAGACTATCTTCTCGCAGATAAGTTGTGCAACTCTATCGCCTTTATTTACTATGAAGTCATCATCAGAATGGTTGTATAGTATTACGCCAACGTTTCCTCTATAATCACTGTCAATCACACCGGCTAGAACAATAATAAATGTAAAAAGATTTGTAATAAATAACTAGTTATTTGCAGTTGTAGCTTGTATTACACACCACCAACATCGATGAAATTTTTCCAAGCAAGACCTGAACGTGGGGCAACACGGCCATAGGTACCTTGAGGCACTTTAATTTGGATGTCAGTTTTGATCAGCTCTTTTCCATGGGCTTTCACAACATATGAATAGGCACTGTGGGTAAATAAACAAATAGACAGTGAGTTGTAATTACAATAATAGGTATAGAGAACTACACCCATCAGCGGCACCTAAGTTTATTAAATTTACAGTAATGAAAATTACCCTCTACCAACCACACTACCATACTCATTTGTACTTGACCTAATAGTTTCCTTTTTCAATTAAAATGTCATGATATATCATCATAGAGAGAATGGTAACACTAGGAATAGTACTATACAATAGTAGTGTAATAAAGTAATTTACATAGGCACATAAATATATATATTTATAAGCAGGCTAACTATAACCTATTCTATAGTGTCATCAAAAAAGCATGAACCCTTACATGGGCTGACAAGTTGATGATTTAATGAGGGGCGTTGTCTCCACAAAGGTACGTATCTAATATTATAATACCTGACAGCTATAGCTATATACAACTACAGTCAAACAATGATTATTATGTTGTATTCATAACTAAAAAATTAATTTTTAGAACTAAATGGGGCTATAGAAGACCTAATTATCTACAAATTATAAATAATAATGACTACGTCTAATAGAGTTTAATATGCCACGACGAGCTTACCTCCTCAAGTCGTAACCGGCCGCGTGTTCGCTACCCTTGGTGGGTTGGAAACCGTGTTCACTGAGTTTGGAGAAAGCCAAAACGTTTTCTTCGTTGCATTTGCGTGCTTTCTTTATCGGGCTGGGCATGTTGGCTACGGTATATGGGCACGGATAAATGTTAAGATTTAAACGAATTGGTAAGCCAATTTTAATGGGATACCGGAAGCGGGACAGCAACGTGAGCAACGACCGAATGGCGAATGAGTCGGAATGACAAATGACAAGGACAATCGAACGAATATGGCGACTGGCAACCGTCTTTGTGACGAGCAAAGGCAAACGCGGGAACGTGTTTTTTTTCTTTATCGCGTAATGAATCAATGGATGATGTTTTGCCTCCAATTTGGAAAACGCGGGAATAACCAGCGTTCACAATTAAACAGTGTGACCTCGACCGATGACCAAACTAATCCCCCCAACTCGTCGAAACCAAAGATGTGTTAACAACGTAATTATATTGTTGCACCCACTCCCGCGAAATCAGTTTTGAAAATACGATCTAGTAAAAACATGAACAAGACTTTTTTTTATAATTATATTATTCGAACGACGATCGTCGTGTTTGGAGAGCGATAAGAGAATGAAAAAAAATCAACCGATCAATAATACCTTGAAAGGTGGGATGAGGCACACTAATTTAGTTCTAACTATATATATAATTCAAGGCTGGGCAAGTTAACGATTTTTTTAACTCGTTAAGTTAAGTTAATATAAGAAAAAATAAGTTAAGTTAAGTTAAAAGTTAATTATAGTATTTTTTATAACTTCGTTAAGTTAAAAATTAATGAATAAAAAAAATTAATTAAGTTAAAATTAACTTAATAATAAATTTAATTATTTTCGAATCTGTAAGAAAAATAGGTTACCTACAAAATGAATAACAAATTTGAAAGTTGTGTCAAGTTTAGTTTCCTGCACCCATGCGTGGCTAACTATGTAGTATGCTTAGCAATAATTACTGAGGATTTAAGGTGGGCATTTAAAATATTATAAATAGTAAATACACAAATTATACAAGTTCTACTATTAACTTCAATATTTTGAATCGGAGCGTTAACAATTTTTTTCACCATGAGTTATTTTAATAATTTCATGTAATAAGTAATAACGTATTTCTCGGGATGAGTTAAAATATCACTTCAGGTTGATTTATGCCTTGGTTTACAAGAAAACTTATTAAGTACACGAACGTCGCGACCTGTATACAATTATATGACTAAATATAAATATAAATTTAGATTAATTATTTATTAATTATAAATTTTTCCATTTACTTTATATTATATATTTATATCTAATATTTCTTAAGGCATCAAGTTAGAAATCAATGGGTTGTATCAAATTTAAAATATAACTTAATTGCAAGAAATCTGTGTATAATTAACTTGAAGTTAACACGTTAAATTTGTAAAAAAAATTAACTTATTAAGTTAAAGTTTCAAAAAAAAGTAACGAGTTATTTAACTTAGTTAATATTGACTTAACGTTTTAACTTAATTTTAATTTTTAACTCGTTAATGCCCACCCTTGATATATATAGGTTCTATGCTCATTTGGTTGTAGTCTTGTAGATTATTCTGGATTAACTACATTATTCCTTTTAGATTCTGATCGGAGTGATTTGATTTTACAACGATGTGTGTTTTTTATATATTTATTTATTTTTTTTTTTGTGTCTGACGACCACATTTGGAGCAGTAATATTGCTTCGATTTTCTCGATCTGCAACTTTTCTGGTAGAAAAGTGAATCTAGTTGGTACTTTGGGGGTTCAAAAGTGAAAAATTTCAATACTTTTTAAACGTAGCGGGAAAAACCAACGTGCAACGCACTTTTTTGGAAAAATCGATTTTTCTTTTTGGTGTTACACTAAAAATAATAACAGTAGATACATGAAATTTTTACCAAACTTTAATATGTACAATCTCAATAAGCCATCAAATTTTCAAAAAAATCGTTTTTTTTTTTTGCTAACGCCGATAAAAATTTTTTCCTTCCGTCAAAAAACTTAACAATTTAATACAAGATTCTTCATAACTTATTTAAAGTGAAAATCAAAAAAAAAATTGAGCGTAAATGTTTGATTGTTTTTAATTAGCGTCTAAAGTTAGAAATTTGAATAAAAAAATATGTAAAAATCACGAAATTTAGCAGTTTTTTTTTATTGAAAAATTCATAACATTTTTTTGGTTTGAGTCTAAGATTTGAAAATTTGACACGAGATTCTCCATAAGTTTTCCTACTTTTCTACAGAAAAAAAACTTACCGGAAAGTCAAACTAAATTTTTATGAGCGTTTGAAGTAAGACATTGGGTGTTCCTCCGTTTTTTCCGTGCACGAATTTCTTATTTTGATGTAATTCAAAAATAAATTATCTCAGACAATTGAAAATTTCACCAATTGTTAAGATAACCATTTTATATACACCAAAAAAATTTTAAAATAATTTGACAAGTTTTGTAGGGCTAAGAAATTTTCGGTTTTTCCAAATTTTTTTTTTAAACATCGATAAAAAAAATTTCGTTGGGTCAAATTTTTTGAAAATTTAATACAAGATTCCTTACAAGTGGATTAGGTAACTAGCAGATCAAAAATCATAAAAATATATAAGCACAATTTTTTTTTATAAGCATTTAAATATCAAAATTTGATCGAAATTCATCATTGAAAATTTGCAACTGGTTTTGTTGTTAAAGTGTTCAGTTTTTATATTTAAGGATTGAAAATATAATGCAATGTTTTATGTAAACAGTTTATAATGTCACCGAAAAATCAGAAAAAAGTATTCAAATTATAATTTTTATAGACATTTTAAGTTAAAATTTGGGCGTCAAAATATTGAAAATGTGCAAATTGTTTTGTAGTTAAACATTTATAAAATGTTCAGTTTTTATAACTAAGGATTGAATATTGAAAACAAGGTTGTTCGTAAGTTTTTCTAAATGCTGTTAAAAAAGTATTTAAGATTAGTATGCACACTTTTTTTTATAAGCATTTAAAATTAAAATGTTGACTAAATTCATCGAAATCTCGAATGGTTGCAAATTGATTTTTACATCGTTAAAAATTTATAAAATATCCTAAAACAACAAACCGTCTCCGCTCAGAATGGTTTTTTTTATTTTTAGTTAATATTTTCATCGTGTCCTGATGATGAAAGTAAAACATCTTGGGAGTAAGTCATAAACGTGATTTTATTTAGTTATTTGTTATTATTTTCTATTCAGTAATGGAAATCTCTTTCTATCGAGTTGTTCATTGATCCGACTGGCCGTATACAGTCTTCCTGTAATGTTTGAGGACTTGAGGTTGCTTGTTTATTGATTGTCAGAGTTATTTTTAGACATTTGTTTTATATAACTTTCACCTTAGATTTACATTTCAAATTGTAAATTTAAATTTTCAATGTTTCTTACTTTGTTATGACATTAAAAATTACACAATATACATTTACATAAGCATTTATCAAACATTAAAATACGATTTTAGTTCATAATTTATAGGTAATTTGTTTGAATAACGATATTATTTATGTGATTTCCGTATAACAAGGCAAATTTATAAATTCACCTTGCATAGAACAAGGTTTTCCTTAAGGCATTAATACAACGCGTTATACGATTAATGTGTAATTACCTAATACATACCTACAATTTTAATATAGGTACTACATGTATTAATACCAATGCAATTATTGTGCTTATAATTTTTCATAAAATTTTATATTGTGAAGTATATTGAGTGCAGTATATTGAAACATTTGAAGCTTCTCTAATGTAAAATAATTTTACATGAGAAAATGTTTTTTTGTAAACTTAGTATATAATATTTTAAATCATTTTTCAATCGAATTTACTGGAATAATTTTGTTTTTCTTCGACAATTATTCTCTAAAATATAACAACAGCACAAGCTAAAAAATTGCCCATTATCTTCAATTCACATTCCAGTTTAGTAGTAACTAGTAGCAATGTGCTTACTAATTACTATACATTATAAATTTATAACCAGAGCGCGGATTTATATGCATTAAAACCCAACCAAATATGTCCTAAAAAAAAAAACAAAATATGCATAACTATATGCACTAACATTTTAAAATATGTTCGAAAAATAAAAATATGCATAAAAAAGATTAGCAAAAAAAATTTATTTTTTAAACATTTAATTAATACAATATATTTATATATTTAAATTATCGAACCCAACTATAAATACTTATCTACTTTTCTTCATTTTTTTATTTTTTTTGTAGGTAGTTTTATATCTATAAGAAAAAAATAGAGATCAATTTATATCAAAAATGTATACTAAAATAAATTTATTTACCTCTCAAATATGAATTGCTTTGCATGATAATTATTTTAGTTTTATTTAGCTTATATTATAATAATATATATATATTTCAAAAATGTCCAAAAAAAAAAAAAAACATCGAAATATGTACTAAAAGATGAAATATGTTATATATTCAAATTGTAAAATAAGCCTTTTAAATAGAAAAATGTCAAAACATTCAGAAATATTTAAGTTATATCTTACCATTGAAATGCGAGGAAAACCTCCCACCTTTGCATTAGGTTTTTTGATTAATATTTTAAGCTATACAAATGTAGCATTAGATTTATTAGGTAACAAGATAAAATGAACCATTAATATATTTCCTACCTTTAGATAACCTAAAATTGTATATAAAATATCTTCTATACAATAAATATACAATATTTTTGTTAGAAAATTTAAAGCTGTAAAGTTGTTTTAACTTATAAATACTTATAAAAAAATGTACATTGTGTAATGTAAATATTAAATACATAATTATTAATTATATTATACATTGGATCATCGGTATTTAATAAGAAGGATTTTTCCTTTTAACATTGGCTAAAAAAATCATATTTTAAATAGTACTAACTAAATAGTTCATTCAAATAACTATTTGAGTATTTAAAACTTTTTACAACGTTAAGAAAAATCAAAGTGGTAACTTCTTTTGTGTAAAAAGAAGCTATTAAAAAGGAAACTATTTATTTTTGATTGACTATAGTTTATTCAATAATAAACAATTTTATATTTTGGATGTGGGTACCTATATTAATATAAAAAATTAAAAAACAATTGAATACAATAACATTTTTCATATATTTCAGTTTATTAGTGGTACAAAACATTACTCCCAAATAAAGACAGTAATATAAACTAAATAGATTATCTAAAAAGTATAAGTATGATTGTATGAATAACAAAGTAAATATTACTAATATAAAATAATAAGCCGGTTATTAAGGTTTTTAAAATAATGAA